ATTTTCTGTGCAGCGGCTTCAATTCACCATGGCAAACACACCGTCTTCTCGTCGATACGTTGCCAGAACGTTTGTCAAAACGCTAAACCCGGATTGCCATAATTTCTTCATCCTAAAATCCCCTGATTTTCCCCTGACTATTTTTGCATGTCCCTAACTCCAAATTTGTTTAATTCCCTGACCTAGGATCGGAATTTCTACTTTTTTCAAACACACAGACTTTCGCTAAACTTTGAACAAAAGTTCCTCGATAGGAGATCAAATTATGGAAAACAGTGACTGGTTAAAAGATGAAGAGTCTTAAAAATGACCGCAGAAATTTGTCGTGTTAAGGATTATAGCTTTAAGTAAGTACCTTTTGGTACTAGCCTCAAGGTGAGAAAGAAGATGTTCCAACCTCGAGACGCGGAAATTGACAAATTGCCAATGCTGCTTTCTAGTTTCGAGGTGATGTGGCTTTATAGTTTCAAGCGTTGTTTTTAAAGGGAACATGTCCGTTTTAAGTCAAACACCAAAGTGCTAAAATCAGTATTTATTCAACGGCACTGTTGCCGGTTTCCAGAAGCATTCACCACGTATTTCATACGATCTTTTCATTGGCCTTGAGAAAATAATTGAAAAATGTTTCAGAAAAATGGTAAGTTTGCCGATAGGTTTTTCCGAAAACGGAATTTTTCCTATTTGACGGCGACTTGTTGGGTTATAAATACGTCATATCGAAAGTTCACAAATGTGCACAATGCATTCTCGCTGAGCCGCACGACTTTCAGTACCTGGAGCTAAGCGCTGAAAAGTAAATACCAATTCCGTACCTCCATTCACAAAACCCATCATTGTTTTGACTATCGAGTGCTAGCAGTGCTCGCCGCCCCTCTGACGTACGGGCAGAGGCGGATCCAGCAATTTGCCAACTCCCGATTTCCTCCATTTAAACCTATGTTAAATAATCGATTATTGTCGGAACACCTGACCCCTCCAAGAATCGATTCATTTCCATAGGTTTAAATGGAGAAAAAGAATGTTGCCAATTAGATAGATCCGCCAGTGCGTGAAGGCGCACCTCAATTTCTGCGTGAGCCCTGTTTTACATATAAATCCATGGTTTCTGGAGCTCATGTGGCAATCGAGATACGCTCTTACGTCAGAGGAGCGACGGAATATGACTGTCCGCGCGGAAAGTGATATTAGTCTTGGAGGTAAATTTTTTTGAAGAGCGATTTTGACAGGGTCCAGAAATTGGCATTAGAGTAATTGAACAGAAATCGCTCAATCGTTTTCCAAAAAAATGGTTGAAAGCATTCAAATTAACCTTGGTCGCAATTGAGGCTGTAGACTCGCACTTCAGGGTTGCCACAGAATTTAGAAAATGAAAGTCCCCGACATTTCCCTGATTTCCCTGGCACATTTTAGTGGAATTCCTTGGGAGCTTAAGAAGGCATAATTGAAACTAGTTTTCAGACAAAATTTGCTGCTCGAAACCTCAAACCCATTCTAGAGAGCAAATGAAGGTGATTTAACAAATTTTCCATGACATTTTCGTCATTTTCCCTGACATTTCCCGGGTTTCCCTGACTTTTTTAAAATTCCCTGACATTTCCTGGTTTTCCCTGACTGTGGCAACCCTAACTTGTGCGCCTTGTCCTCCAAGCCTCTCATTTAAACATTGACTTATTCATATTCGTTACGCGACGTAACATGACAACATGACGACACGATATGCGATGGATCTGGCTTGCTTTAGAGACCGAGCCAATCGGGAAAATTATAGAAATCCGTCAAAACAAACAGAGCGACGGATGTAGGATGCTCGAGATCCGCGAATACTCCAGGAGGAGGGGGGACGCGGGTCAACTAAGAGTGATAAGACCGGCCACGTTTTCTTCGGCCACCTGGCCGCCCGCTAGTAACGGGAGAAGAATCACTTAAGCGTCTCGGGAAATAGTTGAGAAAACCGGAGTTGTTCGTAAGCGCGACGACGACGCTTCGTAGTACANGCCCCATAATTAAAGTGTCTGAGGACAATGGGACCCTCAAATTTGGATTCTTTGGGGTCGATTACCCATGAATACACATTTTTCCGAGTCTCCACGTCAATTTAACGAACTTGATTTTTTTTTAAAGGAGGCTCTGTCCTCCACCTTTAGGGGTCGGTATTTTGGACGCGGATGGGCCGATTTTGGATTTCTTGGTGTCGATTCAAGTTAAACATTTCCCTACGTTCTGATTCCGATGAAATAATTTCAAAATTTTGACATAAACCCTGACTTTTGAAGAACGGACCCCCCTTTTATCCCCCAACGGACGCCGAAGGGGCTCTGAGACCATGAAATTCGGATTCCTTGGGGTCGATTCCGTATCCATCCCCGCGATCCTGGACTTCGTGTGACCCAAATTAACCGAAAAAAAGGCCTGGTACGGTAGGTCTGGGCCACCCTGTATAAAGGGAGAGTACGATACGGACATGTCGCTAATTTTGAGGTTAGATGATCAGGGTCCAAATGGGTAGCCGATCCATGAATTCAAACTATCCACAGTGATTCATTATTATAATTGTTATACGACGAGTCGTTGGTTAAGCATGTATTTGACTTAGTTTTTACTAGAGTACCTTTATGGGGAGAGTATGGACAACATGAGGGGTTGAGGTTTTTTCTTCTTGTTCATTTGTTGATGCAAAATGTTTCATTTCCTTGTTTTTTATACCTTTTACTTCAGTACTGGTGGCTATGTGTGTCATGTGGTTGGCTCGGCCTCTAAGCTATCGCACATCACGCGACTTCTAAAATTTTAGAAGAAACTGACTTTCATGGACAGGGGACACGAACTTTTGAGTTTTAACTCGAAGATTTTCCAAAGGGAAAGGTTTCAAGATCCCCTCAATCCTCCCATATTAAGTTTTCAGTTACTTATTCATTTAACGCACACATAGACCTTCATTTACTGATAATCCTTGAAGTGAGTCGCTCTCTCTTTCTTCAAAGACTTAAATTAAAATGGCACGTTCGTACTCTTCAGCTCTTCTTCAACGTTTCCCCTCTTTAAATCTCAAGATGCGTATGAAAAAGAGTCGTCAGGAAGATTATCAGGTATATCTTCCCGGGTCACGAACTTCTTAACTGCTGTTAGCTGCTGTTTGCTAGGGGCAAAGAGAGCGGCTAAATAATCAGCAATTCGCGAAAATTTAACTCATCCATTACGTAAATCTGACAACGCGGACGCCTGTCGCGGAAAACTGATTACGGCACACAGCTGGCGCTGGTTTCGGGGAAAAAACGGCAAGACAAAGAAAAGAAAGTAGAAAAGAAGGGAAAAGAATAAAGAAAGATAGCAAAGAGAAAAAGCGTGGTGGTCTGATCCGGAGCAAGCCCTCTATGACCCTAGCGGCGCACAGTGAGGCGGGTCCATAGGAGCGGTCGGACATGGCGTGGACACTTTGAAAAGCTTACATATTTACTTTGATACTGGTTTAAAAGTGATTTCATTGTTTTCCTCTAAGAATTTCGAGCGAGAGGCACACCTTAAAATGTAAAATAGGAGGAAATGAATGTCAAAACTTGCAATTTAAGTAAGAAATTTCATGTCTAACCTCTCCTTACTGCTCATACCACTGTGCTGCTCTATCAAGCCTGGCTACAATTCTACGCTGCTAGGCAAGAAAAACATGACTCCAACGGTAAATTTACGTGGAATCACCGTTTTTCTATAAACGACAGATAGCTTCGGCACGAGAGGGCTATGTTTTCGATTGCGAGCAACTACTGGTTGAGGCCCGGCTGTTCGCGCAGGTTTATCGCGATGCACTTGTGACCTCGGTCTGACCGGTGCATCTGCATATGGCTCTTCGTTCCGACGGAACAACGTAAGTCCAGTTTTACAAAAACCCTAGAGCGACATGTTCTTGTGACGAGAGGGCTCTTTTAAGGAGGCAGTTGCGCTCTTTTGACACTAAAGCCACGGAGCATGCCACCTAAGCAAGTAAATAAGGCGTACGTGCAACGGAGGATACTATATTACTACGAAAGTGTAACGATAAACTTATTCACGGAGAAGGAGGGAGGGTCTGTGCTCCAGCCCATCAACAAGGTTATTAAAGAGCAAACCTACTAATAGTAATATTTTCCCTTCCGTTTAGGATCTACTTTGTCCCCCAAAAATCTAGCCTAAAATTTTCGAATCTAGTTTCCTTCAAAATTCGTCTTTTCTTTTAGGTATAAAATCACTGAAATAGCTAAAATAGCAAAATTCATCTCATTTTTATGAAAACAAGACATGAGAGAAAACTGTAAGGCCGCAAAAAATGACGTAGTTTCAGACAAAATAGCCGCAAGTAGCATTATCATAAATAAGTAGCCGTAAGTAGTAATGAAAACAGTGCTTTCAAGTAAGATGCCGTCCTTTATTGCCGAATACTAATCTGAAAATGTGTTCGTTGCGTTTTCGAAACGCAGCCACTAAAGTATGCAGAAGATAGCACTTACGGCTGTCTTGCCTAAACCTAGAAAATGAAAATGAATGATACCATATTCGTATAACTGAAATAAAATTGGTCAGTTTTAAATCATCCAACTGTTTTGTAGGAGCCTTTTGGATGATTCGTGGGAATTTGACAGAGAACAGTGGGTTCGTTCGATAAAATTTTCAGCTCAGACGCTAGCGAACCTATTTTCTGAAAACTTGATTTTTGCACTTACGGCTGTCTTGGCTATCATGCTGTCGTGCTAAGGAAACACGCCGTATGAACCTTCAAGCCTTGCCAAATTTCCTTTCATAAAACACGAATTTCCCAGTAAACTTATAACTGAATATTTTCCACCCAATTTTATAGACAAGTTTGTTCGCGATTTTATCTAAAGTTTCTGAAAATGTCAAGGAAAAATATTCATAACTTCCCTCAAAAATAAACATTTTATCAAAGAAAATTTGGCAACTCTCGAATGTTCATACGGCGTTTTTCCTCATCAGGGCAACATGGGATACGTTAGATAAGGAGTTGTACTCACAATCCGGGAACTGAGCGATGATCTCGAGGCGGTCCTGGTGGGAGAGATTCTCGACCCAGCCGCCGATGTCCTCGGTGGAGGTGATCTTGGGGGTGGTGGCTCGCTGGCGGGTAAACGCCTCGAAGATGCACGGCACGTGGAACCAGTGCTTCATGGTGCCGTCGCCGAAGGGGTTGGGCAGGACCTTGGCCAGCCGCAAGGTGCCCGACTCGATCTTGTCCTTGCACTTCTTGCACCCGGCCCGCGCTCCCTTCGCTCGGTCCACATAGAACAACTTCTGGTCACCCGCCTCCACCTCTGCCTCCCCGTCCGACATTGTCGCGATCTGTAACATAAACATCCGACATTACAGGCTTTGTAAAAAGTACAGAGAGAATTGACACATGTTCGTCATCGGAGTAACTATGCAAGGTTGCCACAGAATTCGGCAAATTAAAGTCCCTGACATTTCCCTGATTTCGCGGACACATTTCGGTGAAATTCCCTGACAATTGAACAAATGCCAGATTGTTAAAAAGACATAGTTACAAATAGTTTTCAGACAAAATTTGTTGTTCGAACCCACTCGAGAATGTAAATGAAAGTGCTGTAGCGATTTTTCCTCGATGTTTCCGTCATTTTCCCTCACATTTCCAGGTTTCCCCTGACTCTTTCAAAGTCCCTGGTATTTCCCGGCTTTCCCGATATTCCCTGACTGTGGCAACCCTGTACATGGGGATAATATCCCCCAAACCGTGCCGCTCTGGCTCGCCAGTTTTACACTGTTTAGGCCCAATAAACATGTGTTTTTTCCGAGGAAGAAATAGTTACAAGCAACTCTTTTCGTGCTTCCGTGCGCTCTGCGACACCCAACCGCCGCTGATAACGATCCAGCCAGAGTTCTTCGGCAAATCGAATCGACTCATTTCCTCCCTTCTTCCTTCCATTAATGAGTTGGCAACGTTTTGGAACGTAGAGAAATGAATGATATCTACGATAAAAGGTGACCCTCGGCAAAAATATCCATCGTATTTTGTTGATTTACAACGCAAATTTGCGTCCTCTTTCGACAAGCGAAACAAAACCACTAGCGACTCATTCTCTCGGTGACTCAATTTTATTCAACTTTTCAAAATGTCTTCCGTGAATAACGGTCTCTTTTCTTATGCCTAGTCTCATCTACCCGATGACTGAGATATTACTCACGGTTGCTTGAATAAAATTGAGAGGCATACACAGAAAAATTGTCAAAAATATTTGATTCTGATCTGTTGCAGGATGACGTATACAGGGGACAGTAGTAACCTGTTGTTGCTAGCGGAAGGACACGGCTACACGTGTTACACCTGCCACGTGGGTTTCAAAACCACAGAGGATCGGTCGACCACCGATAAAAACCAAAGCTGTTGTTGCAAGGGGCAATCTACCCCACAGCAGTTCCAAAGGAGGAAGTTCAACCTATTCAGAACGAAGTTAAACGCAAGGTTGCAATCTAGCCGCTCCTTCAGTCTTATGAGGCTAAATTTCAGAGGTAAGGTCCTTACCTGCGTACATAGCTTCGAACAGTCTGAACAAATTAACACCGGTCGGTTTGGCTACTCTGCCGCGTCACCGAATATAGAAGTAGCTCAGTGGCGTGGCGTGATTTGCGATATATCGATTGATATGTCAATTAAACCTATGGAAAAGGATCGATACACAGGGTGTTCGCAGCGAACACCTTAATATTCGATTCTTTACCATACGTTTAAATGGCATAACAATCAATATATCGCAATTCACGCCACGCCACTGAAGTAGCGCCGATATTTTTGTGATAAAGCTTATTCCGAAGTCGACTTGACTGTTTTTAAAGCAATGATAGAATCAGCTAGGACAGCAAAATTCGTCGTATTAGATAAAATACCGCGTAGAAAAGGAAATTAACATTTCCTGAAAAACCAGAGTTTTTGGGGAAAGCACTCAGTGCGCAAAAGTTAACGTCATTTGGACGTATTTCTATCAAACGGAACTATGTGCACTAAGACATGAGCCCTGAGGCTCATAAGAATGTACGTATAACAGGGTTCACGTCATAATGCACATAGTTCCGTTTGATAGAAATACGTCAATTTCAGACAAAGGAGTAGTGAGTCCACATTACTTCGCGAATGAGCTGATACCTAAAGTTGAAAAAAAACGCGCCTATATATTACATGCAACGTTTAAAACACTTTAAAAATGATGTATTACTATAAGAGAATTAATTAACAGTTTTTCTTGACATTTTCTGTGGATTTTCTGAACTATTTCAAAAATATTAACGAGCGATATTTTTGTTGAACAAATAAAACAGGAGCGTAGATTGAATGACCGCTGATCGGATTATGTTGCAATATTTGAGGAAAAAAGAGCTGAACGGAAAGCAGATTTTTGCTACCGTGAGTAATCATTTATCTCTACACCGTGAGAAACGTGCCTGAATTTTAACCGCATTTGAGCATGCATCTATTACAGCACTCGGGAGGTGATTTTGCCTACACGGTATGTTGAAGGAAATTCGGTTCGGTGACGGAGACTGGACTGCCTGAATGATTTCACGATTCGGTTTTCAGTGTTGGCTCAAAACGTGATGGTTGCGGTACAATCAATCATTTAATTTTTAAATTTTAGCCCTCCCTGCTATTAATTCAGAATACTTTTAGATTTAAATCAATATTCATACAAAAAATTTAACCTTAGTGGTCTTAAGATAAAGGCATTGTTTCCGACTTGTTAGCTGAGATGTATTACGAATCGAATTAAAAAAAATTGTGTCTTTCTTTTACAGAAGTTGTGTAATTTTCCTTCTTTCTTTTTTCGTTGAATATTTAAACGATACGCGTACTCATAACGATTCGTATTATCTTCCTTGGTTCCGGGTAAAAAAAATGGGAACACTGCAAACTAGCAGTGGCGTAGCGTGAATGATCGATCATCGATAATTCTCCATTTAAAGCTATGGTAAAGAATTGATTATTAAGGTGTTCGCTGCGAACACCCTGTTTATCGATCCTCTTCCATAGGTTTAAATGGCACACCAATCGATATATCGCAAAGCACGCCACGCCACTGCAAACTAGGTGTCTCATGCTGCCGTGCAAAGGGAGAACGCCGTATGGACATTCGAGAGTTGCCAAATTGCCTTTGATAAAATGTTTATTTTTGAGGAAAGTAACGAATATTTTTCTTTGAAATTTTCAGGAACTTAAGACCAAAATACGAACAAAATTCTCTGAAAAATTGAAAGAAAAGTATTCAAAAGTTCACCAAGGAATTCGTGTTTTATCAAAGACAATTTGGCAGCGCTTGGGAGGCATAAGGCGTTTTTCCTTAGCAGGGCAACACGCGTCTCCGTTATGGTGCAGCTTAATCAAACATAAAGAATGGGCAATTTTTTAACATATGTTTTTAGAAAAGTGTTTCCTTCATATCCAGCCCAAAATTAGGAGTAGAACATATTTATATGCTGATAAAAGATCAGCGACAAAAACGTTCCCCGTTTCAAATTTTCGACCACGTTCACTTTTGTGAAAAATTGTATAGTTTGACTTGATTTAGCAACCTTGGAATTGAGTTACGTTCCTTCGTCCGGCAGTGGCGAGGCGTGAATGATCGATTATCGATATTTCTCCAATTGAAGCTATGGTAAAGAATCGATTATTAAGGTGTTTGCTGCGAACACCCTATCTATCGATCCTTTCCCATGGGTTTAAATGGCAAATCAATCGATAAATCGAAAATCACGCCACGCCACTGTCGTCCGGGAAACGACGAGTTGTGATACACTACATTGAGCATGACATTTTGCAATAAGGAACCACTATCTCTGGCTCTTCTGTGTAAGAACCTTTCTGCATTGAGAAACCCATGGCAAATATGCTGTTACTAAAATGAGCCAGAGATAGTGGTTCCTTATTGCACAATGTAATCCAGGGATCTATTTGATGGAACTTGGATTCCTGAAACGATTTGTGATGTTTCGCCCGTGCGTGGAACGGAACATCGTTGCCTTGAGAGGGGGTCGCGCAGCTTTGTTCAGCGGCTCGACATTCCTTGCCATTAAAAATTGACGAAGATACAAAGCTTTGTATAGTGGCATACACTTGCCGTGGGCTCATGCAGCCCACTCTAGGGCAGGTCCTCATAAATAAAAGCGATGAAAACTGAAGAGGGAGTTAATCCAATAATCCAAAAGCGTTGGAATAAGATGCGAGGGTCTGGGTCTTTGTGCTCAGTTGTAACGTTAGAAACGCAAGCTGCACGAAAGGAAACATTTTTTATTGTGAGCATGCAGTCCCGAAAATTTTCCTTGTACTCTCGTTTTCTACTTATACTCTCGTGGGTGGAGAAGCGCCATTTTTCATAATAACTGGTGCCTTTGTCTTCGTGCGAGGTCCATTCCTCACCCAACCACGGGGTGTCAATACCCTATGTCACTTTCTCTTCGTCTTTCTTTTAAATATGCTCGCCGCCCAGGTTGGCCTATAGAGCTCAGCGCGTCTGACTCTAGGCCAATAGGTCCCGGATTCGAATCTCGGTGGTGGCGTCAAATTTTCACGCAACTGACGAGTGGATCTGCAGAAGCAGATTCTGCTCGGCCTTGGTCCCTGAAAATTGGGAAAGCCTGGAGCATGGATGGGCCGAAAATCCCTCTGATTAATAAAAACAATCAACCTCCATAATAAACACATGCGTCTTTCGGTAGCTATGGATTCCGAACTTTCCAAATAAAATGAAATAGGTAGAAGCTAAATAAATTGAAGAAAAAAAGAAAAGAAAAGAAAAATCTTGACACTGTAGAGATAATAGGGGCTACAACTTGTCTGTAAGATAGGATTTTGGGTGAGCAGAGTACACGGAAAAAACGAGCTTAGGGTTGGGACCTACATGTTAGTGCTGGGCACTAACGAGGGTTAGGTCAAATGGAGCCAGCAAGTCAGAGGAGTGCTGGGCACTAAACAGCTCGAGGCTGGGTCACTAAGGAAGAAGTAGTGTCAAGCCCTAAAGTGACTTTGGAGCGAGCGTAAAATATGAAACGCCTCCGCCTGTGAGCGAACTCGGATTGCGCCGGTGGAAGACCAGCGCGTTACCACCAGGCTATGGTGGCTCCGACGTCTCGTGGGTGAATTTACACCTGTTCAGCGCAACTACGTCTCGCGACATCTGATTAGCACTACTCATGTTCAGTGTCCAACTGAACTGCCTTCCGGTGTTGAGCTGTACAGCGCTTAGACGCCAGCCCTCAACTACTCCCCACTAAACGGCCAGTAGTGCTCAACACTAGTCTTGTTTTTTCCGTGTAAAAAAAGGAAATAGAATCATACTATTCATTGAAATCTTACATCCAGACTCCTCGTATACGCATATTTTATTTTTCAATGACGAACAATTTCGTCAGACGCGATTATAGAGACAATTATTCACAATAATCAAGGGGTGCAATCCTCTTATTTTAACTAGTTTTCTAAATTCATTCAAACTTGATCCGTTGATTTTGAATCAGGATTTCCTTTCTTGAGGATCACTTCTACAGAATTTGAGGGTCCTCCTTTCCACTGTGGGCATTCCTTCCAGCCCTCCCCCATCCCCTTTTGACTTTAGTGTATGCCCTCTCGACCTCTTTTCAAATCCGCCATGGACAAGCCTCTGACCGGGCAAAAAAAGAGGATGGGGGGAGAGAGAGAGCGGGAGGGAGGGAGCGGGATAGGGAGGGAGAGAGACGGAAGAAGAGAGAATAGAGAGATAAAAACCATAGTCAATTAGTTGAAACGATAAAGCCGACAAAAAAATCAGACTACCGCCAATGATAGTACGATAGGTACTCACAAGACGTCGTCCCTTTGACGTGAGGACGAATCTCAATGCCCCGATGAGCCCTGTAATCCACATAGCTCCATGCTTACCAGGGCTCATGAGTAAATAGAGATACGCCCTCACGTCGGAGGAGCGACGAGGAGAGCCGGGCCGGTAGGTGGCGAGAGCACAGATTGGGTGTTAAACGGAGATAAGCATCCTGGCGAGATAAAGCGGAGAGGCAGCCAATCGAATCGGAGGAAGGATTGAGAACATAGATTGGGTAATTGGGAGCGATTTGATTGGCAGGCTCGGCGAGGTGGGGGGAGATGCGGGTGGCGGGGGCGCAGCGGGCGAGGCGCTTACGACTTTTGAGCGGCTTTAGCGCAGGTTAAAAAGGCTACAAAACCACCCCGGTGTCCTGTCGAGACGGTCAACCCCAGCCCGAGTTAAGACTCCTAACCGCGCTCAACTCTCGTCATCGCGTTGTGTTCCTCCGTGTGAATCGTTGGATATCGCGACGGCGGCATGAAATCATTCACGTAAAATATTACTTACGCGACTCTATAAAGGAACCGATCGCCGTTCTAGCCATGGTTTCTTGCGGTCTTCTGCCTAAGTAATTGTTCTCGAGAGCGTTCGCCATGGCACAACTGACAGGTAAGCGGCATCGCAAATCGGGAATGTTAATCAGGTCTTGTTCGCAATGCACTTATCATAAAGTAAAGGAATTACGTGTTTACCGGAGCACGCATTTCAAATTATGAAAAATTGAATGTTCATTTTCTTGGATGCATTTCGGCAAGATGCCATCTCCATTAAGAACACTTTTTTTCATAGAACACAAAATGCTGAAGATGGCATCTTGCCGCAATGCATCCAAGAAAATAAACAGTTAATTGTTCATCATTTATAATGCGTATTCTGGTAAACATTCTATTCCTTATTTTATTCTATTAGCAACGCGCGATATACGATTCTCCAGTTGACTGCGCACGTATCCGAAACATCGTAACATGGGTTTTTTATTGCAAAAAAACTCGTCTCTTGAAGAACTTCATCGATGTGAAGATGACGTCGAAAGTCTTAAGAAATTATTGTGTTCTTCAAAACCGAAATAATCTTAGTATGCAAAATTACATAAAAACTTTCCCCGTAAATTCAAATAACACTAAACATCAGGGATGCCTGCGGTCATGAGTCACTTTTATCTTCATAAAGTTCTCGGATTAACGAGCGGCCTCTTTTTTGAAAGGGGGAAGAAACACATTTTACGCACAATCTGTGCAAAAAACAAACACGTCAGAAAATAAAGTGGATATTTCAGTCAATGCAAATGAAGTAGGATTGTGGACATTTTTCATGACTCACTCCACGAACTCTTAGGAACACTAAATGGTCTTTCCGGCATTATCATCTGATGCATCGGTTCTTTAGGTGAACATGCTTCGCTCCTCTAAAATTTCACTTTTCTGACGTCTTCAGTTCTAGTATTGACCGATTCATAAATGAATTTACAAGACTAAGAAAGTGTATTATGAAATCGAACGATTCCATTACGGCTGTCAGGACGAGTGAACTTTGTCAGGCGTAAAATTTTACTTTGCTTTTTTAGACGCAAATTACGAAGAGAACGGTCCTCTTGATGTGATAAATCCGGTTCTTCTTGATAGAGGAGTTGCATCAGTATTGCATTTTGTCCCGATTCTTCAATTTTCCTTGAATATCTTGAAATCGTTGACTTATCGGTTACCCGCCGGCAGAGGGAAAATTCACCGCAAAGTAAAGGTTGGTTTCCATGTTTGATTACAAGGGTTGAGGAAAATGGTGTTCTTGGGTTATTTTCGATTGATCAGAGCGAAGAGACCCAGAGCTTTTGAACGAAGTACGATTAAAAACCCGTAAAAACTTACAGTCGAACCAAGTTCCATTCTTCATTAACCTAATCACAGTGTGGCTTTTCTATATCATTAAGGCAATTTTGAGGACCCACGGATAATTCTATTACTTCTTTGGATTTTTCTACAGGATACTATCTACTGCTTTCTTTCTAAAATCTGAGATATTAGTTTTTTCCACCAAATAATGAGCTAGTAAGTGGAGTCAGTAACTTATCAGTGACAATCAGTGATCTCATCGGGGAAATAATAAGAAAGACCAAAGGTGATTCAACGTGCGAGCCGTTGGAGAACCGATAAAAAGAGCTGGAATGTAATCAGATTATTAAATAAAACATTTTCAATAATTGATTCTTTCCGGAATCACCTTTACCGCTAACTATGTTCGAAAATATTACTAATCGTAGCTTCGTGTGGAGATTGAACCCTCATTCGAAATTCAACGTTTTTAAAATCTCAAGAAAAGGGGTAAAATACAGAAGTGAGAATGTTTGGGGTGGAGGGGGGCGGAGCGGGAGCGAGTCAACTCGTCGCTAATGCAATTTTTACGGCGAGCATCAATTTTTGATGATGAGATGAAAAAATTGTTTGGGAACGTTTATTCGATAATCATCTCGAAGAAAACCATCGGTAGATGCCGAAGAAAGCACAAAATCAACCGTACAGCTTGAAAAACTACATGATCAGCAAATGTGTTACTACTTATCCTTTTTTTGGTAAGAAGTTGAGGGATGGTTTAGGAGGCGATTTTCCAAAATGCTTATGTTGCAAATAGAGAGCTGAGAATTATAAATAAATTATCACCTTCCCCGGGCGCTTATTCAAAATAATGCCACATCTACCTTCAAGCCATTATTGACGACATGAGCATTGAGCAACCATTCTTAGCCACAAATTACTTTAAAGACACAAAAAACATAAATTTGAATATATATACACAGATATTATTAGAAAATCAAAAGTGATTACAACTACGGCAAAATCAATTTAAACAAAGTTAGAGCATTCAGATTGTGCCAGAGCGACTTTCCCATCAAAAGTTGATAGACTCATTAGGATTAAGGTGATGATTTGCTAGTTAATCTAAACGGAACTCCAGTCGCGACACGGAATACGGCCTTTTCGTTGAATTTTGCTGTGCGGAAGGCAAAACCTTTCATGGATTATGCAAATTGATAATACAGGTGACATCTGTATTCTATTGGTCAAACCGCACTGTATTGGGGTGTATCTGAATTGACTGCTCAAGACAACACCGTCATGAGGTCAGAGTTAAACCCATCCCAAAACAGTCCTTTCCAGCTGAGCGGATAGAAATTACCCAATTTCGCAGAGATGTTAATAACCTCTCCAATAATAACTTCAGACCTTTAATCAAAGGATCTGTTTGTGTGAACGGGTAGGCGTCGGCGACACACGGGCATGCTTGCCAAATTTAAGAAATATTTTATTTTTTACACTTAAATTAAAACAGCGACTTTATCAGGAGGTGAGGAAAGCAGCTATGCTCATTCATATTCTGGATTGATTGATGTAGAAACCATAGTAGTTTTTAAATTGTTTATACTTTCAATCAAATTAGTAATGGCGCGGACTGAGAAGGCTGCTGGATACTTTCCCAGTATTCTGGGTTTTACTTACATTTCTCTAACAATATAATAACGACTTGAAATCGCTTGAATCAAACACTCTGATTCGGCAACTTTTTTTGCTGCAAATTTTCGACAAATGATGAACATACTCTTCAAACTTGTGTCATTGGATTAATTTATTTGAGATACCTCGCAAGGACATCAAACATACATCAAATACGGCTTTCCCACCTACAGCTGTGTGTTTCTTCATTTCATGACACTTATTCTAGCCAAGAACTGGTGCAACTTTCAACAGAAAAAGAAACTTCAGTATTCAAAAACTTAAAAACAGACTTACACTATTGCAGTTACATAAAAAAGTTTTTAGCAAGAATTAAGCGCCAAAGAAAAAAACGACCAACCCCTCTTCCTTTTCTTCCAAAAGAAAACTGAAAACTTTCGAACTGAACCGAAGTTTTAACAAACTTGGTGTTTATAAATAACCGCTTGAAACTGTAATCTGTCATTGTTGCTCTTGAATTGTTGCATTGTTGCTATAGGGATCTTAGAAGAAACTTTCCTGGAAATTTCCAGCTGTAATCCACGTCCCCAGGAAACTTTACCAGAAGAACACATGATACATGCATGCATACCCTTACACTTGGCTTTCCCGGGAAACTTTGATCCCTCGATGGAACCAAAAATTTCCCGTTTTTCTGTTGGTATGGCGTACCTCCATTTCAAATTGAGTCCCACGAAATAAAGACGTATACGGAAGATAGAGCTCATCTTAAAATGCAGCTTTGCGTCTTTTGCTGACACAAACAGCTAGCTAAAATGGCGCTATTCTTTGATATATTACGGAATGTTTTCCATTGAAAAAACAACTGCTGAAAAATTTGCCATCGCCCAAATAGAACTCATCTACCGCGGATCATCTTGATTTTTTTTTAAAAAAAGAATAAAATAACAAGTTAATTTGGAGAAAGGTTGCAAAAACAAAACGGAATAAATAAAGAAAAACCGATATGTTTTGAAATTGATTACAGTTTCATTATTAATTGGAGAAAAAAAATAAATACAATTTTTTTATTTATTTTAATCACCGGTAGATGATGAAATTGTAATACATTTCGGAACTTTTCAGTTTTTTTCATGTATCCTCTATTTTTTGCGGCCTTACCCCAAATTAAGTTGTTATTTTAGTAGGTGTTTTGGCTGATTGAGTTGTTCTTTATTTTTTCTCGGAAGCTGATGGAGAAAAACTATTATCGCCATACATTGGCAGAACTTCCTAGAATTCACCCGACTATTTTTATGAAAAGCTGATTGTTTCTTTCTTTTTCTGACTGTTCTAGGAATGTCTCATTCCCTCCTAATAAGCCTAGTCATAGTGTGCACCTGTTTAAGCAGTCTAGTCAAAGCCGAAGAGGAACTGAAACAAGCACCTGCGTTCACCGATTCAGAAAAGGTAAATCATAGAATCAGAATAATAGAGTAATGGAATCAGTCCAAAGAATTAAACCTACCTCCAAACAGTTGGGGAAATCATTAGCAGGAATTTAATATTATGAATGAAAAATTTCGAAAGTCAAAGACTTGAAAAACTGAAAAACTTATGGGAAAAGTAGGTGCGAACTACTGATTCTTAAATGTGAGGAAGAAGATACCTGAAGAAAAGAGAAGAGAGACTCGAATAGTCGGATCATCGGTAAGGGTTTGACCCTTATTGTATAATTTTGTATTTTAATTAGTGACTTTAAAAGATACGTCAGAGATTTTAAATGGAGAAAACACACACAACTGCTCCATGGCTGGAAACATGTTCTCCTGGATCTTTTTTGCCCAGTGTGCGTTGGTTCTGACAGACTGATGTTTGGTTTTCATCACAGCTTTGGTTGAAATCAGGCAAGATCTTTGAAGTTGCAAAATTTCCTTTCAAGTTTCATTTTCTATAAACATCCTGGGAATATTTTCCAGATAAAACTGTACATAAAAGTCTCACTTTCCTCCCCGATAAACAAGTTACACATCTTTTGAAACGATGGGAACGTAATGTGAAAACTTCTGGCACTAAATTTTTTATTTTGTTCGGGACAAATTCTAGTCGTTACATCGAGCGCTCTGGTCATAGATAGGATTCCGGAGCGAGCCCATAGGCTTTTTACTCAGTGTAGTTATTTTTCATTAAAGTACACACGGAGTAAATTGTTTAATATAGGGAAACGCATAATTGACATCGGTCAAAACTATCGTATGAGAAACTAATGCAAGCGCGACTACTTATTGCAAAAATGTTGCTCTCGCCTAAAACAAGTCAAATGTATTTTTGTGTCATTATAAAAAATAAATAAATAAATAAAATGGCAGGCATTCCGAATAAAACTAGTATCAGGTAACGATGGAGCGATCTTGAGTTAGAGATATATGCTTTGTCTAAATGTTCAAGTGTTCAGTTATTTTGTGCTAGAGCTTGTGAGGAATTTCCCACTTTTAAAAGAATCACAAGATCTTCACTTAGCTACTCAATTCATCACACCTACAGGATATAAGTTCACAGTATTATCAAAAATTCAAATGCTCTGTGTTTCTTGAATATTTTTTTCTGATATTTCCTCGTGATTGCACGAAAATGGTAAGACAAATATCAAAGTTAAAATTATTATTTAGGTAATTATTTAAGGTATAAGTTCACAGTATTCTATCAGAAATTCAAAATTTCTGAGAATTCCTCGTGATTGCAAGAAAAATGCAAAGACAAATGTCAAAGTTAAAATTATTTAAGCGGCCAAACTTTACAAGTTCAACTATCACAACTGTGAAAAGCCAAACATTCCCTTTGCTACTAAGAGTTTTTCAGGAATCTTGTGTGTGTTGTTTCCCCAGTTTTTTTCACATAGTTAATTGACCAATGGATCACTAGACACGGTACGAATTTAAGCATTCTGATACATGTTTCTTAACCAGAACTTCACGTAGAACACGATTCGCGCAACGAAAATTATTGAAACCAACTCTTAACGGAGATATTAACATTTTTATTTCACATTGGTTACGAGGAATTTGAACTGCCCGCTCACAAGAAACTCCAAGCTCTACGTGAGTCAAATCGCGCACTACAACGGTTTCAGCAAGCTTCTCAATCAAGCAATGTACATTTTCCACCATGTGTTGTTCAAACTATAAGCAGTTTGCTATAGCTGAGCCAAAGCGTCAAGATTGAGGTTGCCAGATTTGTATATCGTAGAGACTGTCATGATAACGTTTAGCGCGCGATGTGAATCACGTAGAGCATGGAGTTTTCATGAGCGGGTTATTTGAATTCACGCATCAAGAATCATTTAATATCTTCGTAGGGAGTTAATTTCAGTATTTTTCGTTATAAGCATAGTATTTTACGTGAAATTTTGGTTAAGAAACATGTATCAGAATGCTGAAATTTGTACCTTATCTAGTGGTCCACTCCGCCATCCACAGACTCACGTTTTGGCGGTTTGAGATCATAAATTAGCGAAAAAATAGAGCGAGACGTCCAAACTTCTAGTTTCGAAGTCCGCTATTAAAATTCCAACATTAACGGAGTCATCATCCTTCGAAAAATACAGGGGATGACATCATTCACCGCGGTGGTGCAACCCATAGTTGTTAACACCTTTGATTCATCAATCACATCTGCACTGGCTGCTTGACTCAATACGCGGATGGAACTATGGTGGAAGAAACCATGGCATGCCCACCGCGGTAGATGACGCCATACCCCGTGTTTTTGAAGGGCGATACCTTCGTTCATAATTGCACGTTTTAAGTTGCTGTTTCGACGAATCTGTTTAGTTTTGGCTGAATTATAATTTGAAATCATCAAACAAGATTTCGTGACAATCATAACGATCTGTCTTTTACCAGAGGACAGCTCGTGTAGCAGTGATCGCGTTGCAATACGATCGGAGAATGAATCGCAATTTCATCGAGGTCAATTTATTGCAATATTATCGGATGAAAAATTGCGATACATTCCGATTTCATTTCATTATTTTTCAATAATTTCGCGATTCTATGTATGACACTTTTTTGCAATATTATCGAACAAAAACTCGTGATAAACTGAGATACTCTTTGGATTTTATAGAGATGAAAGTGCGACAAGACTGAGAAAAATTGCTAAAATGTTAATGATGCTAGCGATTTTATCCCCAAAAAACTTAATCAGTAGTCGGTGGCGTGGCGTGCATTGCGATATTGTATAGATTGATCTACCATTTAAACCTATGGAAAAGAATTGATAAACAGAGTGTTTGCAATGGACACCTTAATATTCCATTCTTCACCACAGCTTCAAATGGGGAAAAATCGATCACGATCATTCTCGCCTCGCTAATGAATTTAATTAAAAAATATCACGATTTTTCCTTTGACAAATGCAACTACACCNGGGGGGGGGGGGGACCACATTGGATCGATAGTCCAGACTCTTAAAAACATCGACAAGAAAAAGTACTCTTGATACAATCAGATTTAAGCTTAAATCAAGAACCAAGCGTCCTAATTCGAGCGGATTTCCTTTTGATTTAAGCTTAAATCTGATTGAATCAAGAGTCTTTTTTCTTATCAATGTTTTCAAGAGTCTGGACTCTAGATCCAATGTGGTTTTTTTTCCAGTGTAGGGTAAGTTGCGTAATCCTGCATTTGACTCGATGTTAATGATCTGTCGTGTTGCCTGTTGCAGCCATTCAAATTAGGAGAGCTATTGCAGCGGTTGCAAGCGGCCAAGCAAGCTTTAGACCGCGAGAGGATAATCGAGCAAGCGTCGAAAGACGGCAAAGACCTCTTCGAGTACCTGGGTGAAAACTACTATGGATCGGATTCCTCCGACACCCCGATTGCGCCTCCAGGCTACCGGGTTAGACTAATCTCCACGCCAGAGGCCGCAAGAGATGACTACTTGTACGGCAAAGACAAGCGAGGCAACTGTAAGTTGATATACCCATCTTTATTAAATTTCCATGGTTCCAGTAATTTAGACGGAAAAAAACGGCTGTAGCGGTGGGCCCTATACAGTAGAGCTGGGCACTAAAGTGGGTTAGGTCAAATGGACTTATGGTCAAATGGATTTAAATCAGGGATTTTCTGTTTGGGTAGAAAATTCAAGGTCATTAAAAAGCTTAAAGTAAGTGTTGATCTTTTAAATCAATTATGATAAGATCGCCTATCTTTAATGAAGGCTAGTTTAGTCTAATTCCACAGATGGGGCCGGTATGGTGATTTTATTTAATGCTGGTGTTTTGATTAAGATGACTAATAGTTTCATTAAGATTTTTTTACTGATTTAGTTTAAGGAGTTTAATAGTATTGAATTCTCCTCTCTCGGTTTTTTTTTTTTTTTTTTTTTTTTATACCTACTCCGGGTAGTGCTGGACACTAAACAGTTCGAGGCTGGGTCGCTAAGGAAATAGTAGTGTCCAGCCCTGAAACGACTTAGGCAAGCGTAAAATATGAAGTGCCTCCGCTGAGGGTTGAACCCGAGTAACGCTGGTGGAAGGCCAGCTCTTTGCCACCAGGCTATGGTTATTCGTATTCTACCGGCGTGAATTTACACCTGTTAAGCGCAACGGCGTCTTGCGGCATCTGATTGGCACTACTGGTGCTCAGTGCCAACCTCTACTGCCTTTCAGTGCAGAGCTGTACAGCGCTTAGACGTCAGCGCTCAGCCGCTCAACCGCTCACCACTAACGGCCAGTTAGTGCCCAGCACCAATGTTGTTTTTTCCGTGTACCTACGGTCAAATTCCTGGCTCTTCCTTCAAAATCCTGATTTTCCTTGATTTTTCTCAGACTAATATTCTTTCTTCCTGATTCCAAAATTTTCTAAATCTCTGACTTTCCCTGACCTTCGAAGAAAATTTCCACCTTATGCCCCTTAAAATACGCCGACTTTCACTACAATTTGGATACAGTTTTCTTGTTTTGCACGGAGAAAAAAACTTCGTGCGTGGGACCCAAAGTTGAGATCATATGGATCTCTGAAGTTTTGGATCACGTACCTAAAAACTTGAGATCCAACTGCCGAAGTTTGGGTCAGACATCTGAAGTACTTCGATATATACCGAAGGGTTCGGGTCACACATCTGAAGTACTCCGGTACATACCGAGGTGCCTCGATGTCTGACCCGAACTTCGGCAGCTCGACCTCAAGCTTCCGGATGCGTGATCAGAAAACTTCAGAGATCCATAAGACCGCAACTTCGGGTCCCATGCACGAAGTTTCCTTCTTCGTGTGAGATCAAATTATGGATAACGAAATTCAGTAGCGCGCTAAAATATGACAAGCCTTAAAAATGACTGGAAAGGTATCAGCTCGAAGATCAGTGTTACAATTTCGTGATCAGTAGATGTGTCAGAAATTCCCTGACTTTTCCCAGTCTTCATGAATTCCCTGACTGTCCCGCTTTTCCAGACCGCCGGCAAACATAAGGTTCTGAGACAACATGTCTTCATAAAAAGAAATTTACTACGATAACCGTTCATTGCTTCGAGTGAAATAGTGCCCCGTCACCTGAGTTAGCAGCATTTTTTTAAAAATATTTTCATAAATCGAAACCTGCACTGGTACGAGTAAAAAGCTAGAAGTTAAAAGCGGGATGCTATGCGATCAAAGCAATGATCAAATTCCACAAAAATCGCCCTACTGAATAATCAACGTCCATGGGCTGAAATCCCTTTACGTTTCCTAACGGTCATAAATATTGACGTTTAAAGATTTAACAACGATTGGTTCAGATATTACTGTGCGGTAGACGGATACGGTACACTGGAAAAAAATCCACATTGAATCTAGAATCCGGACTCTTAAAAACATCGACAAGAAAAAATACTCTTGATTCAATCGGATTTTTGCTTAAATCAAGAACCAAGCTTCCTAATTTGAGCGGATTTCCTTTTGATTTAAGCAAAAATCTGATTGAATCAAGACTATTTTTCCTTGTCAATGTCTTCAAGAGTCTGGAGATCCAATGTGGTTTTTTTTCCAGTGCACGGCAAAATTTTTAAATTGAAGCCGTGAAAGAAACATTACGTTTGGCGGATCGGTAGTTTCAATCTCAAACAAGACAATTATAGGAGTGTGGGCAGTTAACACGTGATCGATCATCCCTCTATGTCAGAACATGTTGCCAAGTCGCCCAAGACACAAACGTACTTCCTCCCGCTTCGCACGAAAAAAGGGTTATTTTTACGAAAGTCCGGCTTGACACGAGACGAAACCTGGAATAGTGTGTTTATGAGCGCGTTTTGTCCGCCTGTCATGAGAGGATGGTCATTTGCCCCCATTGTACAAAGAAAACGGAACTGATTGACGGAGATCGATTTCCCGTTTCATATTTAAAGGCATGAAGATCTGCGTCTCGAATCAATCACGTTTAGTCGTCTGGATGGCTTACTGAATTCTTGAATGGATAGGAAGTCCAACGCTCCTTGATACACAATATTTCTGACGCTTCTTTCAGTTTTATAACTTCAATTTTTTTTTTTAAAAAAAAAACATAACAATTTTTATTTAAAAAAAGGCAGGAAACACCAAAACGTAACGATTGGAACTGGAGACGATGACCACCGACAAAAACCTGCGAAAGACTTCATTAAAATTTAAAGCTACTTTAGCTTTCAACGTTTCGTCTTCAACTTTTTCTGCATTTCCAGGATGACTCTAAATTTTCGAGTTCCCTGACTTTTCCCTAGCCTTCGAGAATACCTCCACTTGATTTTTTTCTTCATTTATTTGCGCTGACTTTAGCAAGACTAAGGACAAAATCTTGACTTCTACAGATGCGAATTAAGGGATAAATGCACCGGCTGAAGTTGTTGAGTCGACACGATACTCGCGAAATGCCCTGACTTTTCCAGGTCGCCGTTAATTAACCCTTACCTCATTCTCTGACTTCTTTTAGGTTTTTCAGATCGTCGGAAACCCTGACAAAATTACCATTCAAAGACCCTATCACTGTAAGACTAGATTTAAGCAAATCCGTACCTAAAATAGGATGGTGATTGTAAAAGAAAACAAAATGCACGCACAATTTTGCGTTGCTTTATGACGCCCATGTCATCAAATCCATGATTCTATCATTTTGCAGGGTGACAAGATTTTTTGGAGTTCTTCCAAAAATGTTTAACTTTTCCAGTTTTATGGCAAAACGATTTTATTAAACTTTTCTTAGAATTTTCTAGGTTTTTGAGGAAAAAAAAATTGTGACTTTTTTCTTACTTTTCAAGTATGCCAAATCGTTTTAAAATGAGAAATTGTAGGACTCGGGGGTGAAATCTGCTTTACACAAGTAAGTGATGATCCGGCGAGATGGAAACACACCCCCAAAGACAAAATCAGCTGTAGAATTTTTTCCATATTTTCAAATGATTAATTGGCCCGTTTTCGTCGTTAGTCCGAGAACCAGTCGAGAGATAGTGACAAAACTGTAACCTAAGTTTCGACCACTTGATATCCAGCACTGACACGGAAAATGGTCATGTGCCGCGTTATGGAAAACGCTACAACTTGGCAGACAACGATTTTCCGCGTCAGCGCTTATAGGGCTATCGATTTTAGTGGTCAAAGCCTGTGTCATGAGTTGGTCACTAACTATCGTTTGGGTCTGGAACTACGCTGAGTTTTAAACAGAAATTGGTCATAGTTCAGGAAACCCCCGAAGGATAAATCACAATAAAATAAAAGAATGCTTCGACTCAACGATGTTTCCTAGCTTCCGAGTTATTCCTGTCCAGGGTGTCTACTTAAACAGGCTGGCCAAAAATCAGTGCTTTTCCAGTCCATTCCCAAGAAATTCAGTACCCTCTCAAAAGAGAAGTTCAGTGCTTTAAACAGTACCTCCAATTGAAGAAATTCGAAAATTTCACCTTCTCGCTAAATTCCGCACTTTCTCAGTACTTCCGGACCGCCCTTAAAAAATCAGTACTATATCCGGACTTTCCGGAAATTCTGACTTGTAGACACCCTGTTGTCCTTCCGAGAGCTTGTCATCCTGTTTCCTAGCGACACTGACACAAATATTATACATGCGAATATTCCTCGTGGTTTATCCTCGTGCGAGGTCCCTAATTGGGGGTTACAAATACCCGCGCACAAACACACGGAGCAAATACCAATTATCACTCACGCAGACGGTCAGAAGCGCGAGGGAGTGTAAATTCGTGGTCCCTGGGGATGGGTCACGCCACGCGACGAGCGAGAACATTTTGAGGTTAGGGTGCGCGAGAGCCCCGGCCGCGACGGGAGACGGACTGAGCGGAGCGCCGCGCCTCCTGCTCCGCCGGCTCATCGCACATGATGTAATGCCAAAGGCCGATGACAAAGCGATAAGGCCCAAATCGAAATTGCTCGATTGCCGGGAAGAATAACCCGTCGCTGCACCCGCCGGAAGCGTGGCCGACTCCACGTGGACCAGAGACGTAAAGACGGAGTGCTCGTATCTAAAAGCACGGGGAAGAAGTGGAGCCATTCTGACGATGTGAATCCATGCGCGGGAAACGATTGGATTTGAACTTGTACTCTTCATTTTTCCATATTTCTTCTTCGAATTTCATTTTAAATGCCTAGGACGAACAGAAAAATACAGTTGGGATTGTGAATTGTTATAAAAAAAAAACCTATTTTGGCTTGGTAAGAAGCAGGAATCTTACACCAATCTCAGATTAAGTTGCTGTGAATCCATGCGCGGGAAACGAAATTTGATTTGAATTTGTCCTCTTGATTTTTCCACATTTCTTATTTAAATCTCGTTTTATTTGCCTAAAACGAACAAATATATCAAGTTGGGATTGTGAATTTTTATAATAAACCTATTTTGGCTTGGTAACACGAAGGAAATTTACAGGAGTCTCAGATATAGTTAGTTTTTCTGCTGCTCTAACCAATAGGAGAGGTGGCTTCATTTTCTTCTCCTAGCGCTCCGTATTTATGTCTTTGACGTGGACGGAACGCGACCGGCTTTTGAAACCGGTTTCGCGGGGTCCTAGTCCACATGACCCACACGTGCCAGATACATTGAATATCGTGTCGAGCGAAAACCGCTCATGTCCATTTTTTCAACGTTCAGTTTTTTCATGTTGATAATACTTTTCAAGAGTTGATACACTCATGAAAGTGGTGCCAATACTTGTTTTGTGATGAGGATAACCCTAAATTAAGAACTGACACCACTTCCGAGGTTCCATTTAACTCTTCAACCCAAAAAAACTCAAGATTGGAAAAATGGACACTAGCAGTTTTCGCACGATAAGATTCGATAGGACTGGGTACATTTTGCAATTATGAACTTTAATTGCTTAGTTTAGAAACAACGTATGGACCTTTAGTTTCCCTACACTGATAAAAGTATTTGTGTTCTTGTGTCAATTTTGGTTAATATGTAGGACGTGAAACACAAGCCAACTCAAATTTTGTGTTGATTTCGGTGCAGTTTGTCGTGAAGTTAGCGCAGAAAACAATGTTGTTTGTTTACATTTGAACCTTGATGTAGCCCCTAAATCAGTTTATCAGTGAAACGTGTCCATACGACTTGTAGACACTGATAGACATCACCGAGGAATCCTGCAAAAACGGCGAATTTCACTTTTTGCCCGTGACAAATCCACGACGGATAACGTGAAAACTTGAGTGAAATCCAGAGAAATGATACATAAATACATATGAGTCGCTTTTACAGCGCTCTTTGGCGCATTACGACGCCTAATCGCCACAAGGCTCGGTCTTCCCACAGGTCATCAAGGAGTTGACACTCCCTCATCTCACTCAACACCCCCTGTCGCCAACCCCTCACTGGGCGTCCCCTACGTCTCCTCCCAGGAGGAACCCAATCAAGCATCTTTTTTGGCAGCCTCTCTTCAGTCATCCTATTGACATGACCATACCAAACAAGTTGTTTGGTCATGACGTCGAACACGATGTCATTTTCGACTTCCATTATCTGACGCACTCTATATCATTACGGACCCGATCTCTCCTAGAAATTCCTGCCGACCTTCTCCAGAAATCCATCTCCGTTGCTCTTAGCATATCCTGTGTCCGTTTCTTCCGTTGCGTCCGTTCAGAGAAATGATAATTTGTTTTTTTTTCTGTTTCAGACATGACATTGTGCCACTTCAAAATCTGCAATATGGGACGGAAGCGGTGGAAATCGTGGCCCTGACTAGAGCTGGAGCTGGAGCGCTGAAGCGTCCCGACGCCGACGCCGGCGTCGCCGTACAGCTCGCCCCCACCCGCACGCCCCGCCGTCGCCAACACATCCACCAGACAAACGTATTTATCATCCGACCTCACCCAGAAGCCATCTCTTCAGATTCCTCTTATACTAAATTATTGTATAATTTTACCGCAGAACAGACGATGAAAAGTTGAATAAAGTCAATAGCGTAAACTTCAAGTTTTCCCAGGTGCTTTTATTTCCTCCGCGCCTCCTCCCGCTCTACGGCCGAGTTGTTTGGCCGCACTGCCGCGCTGAGAAACAACGACTTCCTTGCAAACTTTTCCCGGAGCGGAAAGGAATTAGCTGCCTCCCATGAAACACGGCACGGAAACAAAAGTGTTGGGGGTTATCCTCTAAAATTGTGGGGATACACTAATTTTTTGGATGATGTGGTCATTCTCAATTAATAGACCACTAGACAAGGCACGAATTTCAGCATTCTGATGCATGTTTCTTAACCGAAATTTCACGTAAAATACGATACGCACAACGAAAATTACCGAAATCAACTCCTTACGAAGATATTTAATGATTCCTGATGCGTGAATTCAAACCACCCGCTCATGAAAACTCAATGCTCTACGTGATTCACATCGCGCGCTAAACGTTATCATGACAGTCTCTGCGATATAAAAATCTGGCAACCTCCATCTTGACGTTTGGGATCAGCTATAGCAAATTGCTTACCGTTTGAAAAACACGTGGTGGGAAATGAACATTGCTCGGTTGAGAAGCTTGCTGAAACCGTTGTAGTGCGCGATTTGACTCACGTATAGCTTTGAGTTTCTTGTGAGCGGGCAGTTCAAATTCCTCGTAACCAATGTGAAATAAAAACGTTAATATCTTCGTTAGGAGTTGGTTTCAGTAATTTTCGTTGTGTCAATCGTGTTTTAAGTGAAATTCTTGTTAAGAAACATGTATCAGATTGTTTAAATTCGTACCTTGTCTAGTGGTCCATTGAGGGTGGTGCCGCAACTCAAGTTAGGTAGTGCCTCAAAATTTGGGTTGGTAACCTAATAATTGATTAGGGTACCGCCGCAAAACCCTTTGATCCATACGGACAAGAATTCTCGTCCTCCCATAACCACACTGTAACCCTACGGACGAGAATCCTCGTCTCCGAACCTCAAAATGCCTCGCGTACATTATTTGAAAAAAAAGGAAAGGTAATTCACTTTTGGTGACTGATCTTCACTTCCACGTGCCTTTGAATAAAACACACAAAATGTCACGCTATTTGATGGAGAAATAAGTAAATAAAGGTGAGAAAACTAAAACCAGTCAATTTCGCGCGATTTCTCATTCCTTACTTAGATTGGGGCAGCGCAGCGTGAAAATCTAACTCAAAGTGAATGAGTTATTTTTGGGTACCATCAACCATCACATTATTAATTGAAAATGCCCCTGATCATCCAACAACCCCTACTTCTTTTTTCCATGGGCTCAAAGATCATGGTGACTGTTTGAAATTTACTTGTCCTCGTAACGGGCCGGTTGCAAACTTTTGCTAGAGCGAAAGTAAGTAAGAGCTGTTCCTTAGATAATATTAAGTCTCAAAAATCACGATGAGCGCATCGGCAAACCCTGAAATGCACTCCTGACTTCACAATCTTCGTAAGAAATTTGCGTTTTTTTAAGCCTCCCGCTTCAAAAAAGGATATTACAGCATAGGTGAATATTTCGTTAGAGGAGTCGTTCTATTCAATCCCTGCTCAACATGTCCGACGTTTTCGCGCGCAAGTTGAGGGGATGAGCATGCACGAGGTCAATCAAGGCGGATATCTATCACGCGAGAAAAACGTGAAAGTAAACACGCTGATTGTTATCAGGTGGTTAGAATGGGCCAGTTGCGCCGGTCACAGAGTTGTGTTTTGATGCTTAAGATTCTTCTAAATCAGCTAAAAATAATAAGATCCGTCCGAACGGCGACTTTTTACGTTGGATATTAACCGAGATATCGTCCTTTGAAAAATCGTGTTTTCGACGTCATCCACCGCGGTATGTATTACCGCGGTGGATGACGTCATAAATCGAGTTTTTCAAGGCGCGATATCTCGGTTAATATTCAACATATAAAGTTACTGTTGGAACAGATCTTAATATTTTTAACTAATCTTTAAGAATCAAGCATCAAAACACGATTCTGCTGATCAGCGCAACTGGCCCATCATCGTCCCGTCACATGTGTTTTGGCGGCTTAGCGTCGGCTATGTTGAATATTGCGTGGTATCCTCGTAAGCAGGGGTTGGATAGAATGACTCCTCTAACGAAAGTTCACCTGTGTCGTGGTATCGTTTTTGAAGCGGGAACCTCGAAAAACGCAACTTTCTTACGCAAATTATGAGGTAAGGAGTGCATTTCAGACTTCGCCGATGGGCTCATCGTGATTTTTGAGACACTTTCTATGGGTGACATCTCTTATTTTTGCTCCAGCCAAAGTTTGCAAGAGGCCCGTTTCACAATGTGCGTTGGGAATTTGCGTGTGTTTAGCTTCCCGCCTCAAAAACCATACTATGCCATTAACATATTATGATTCAGATGATTCACCTCGACGTCTTAACTCCACGCGAAACTGAAAATGGCCGCCATTATCAGTCACAATTTTCCAATTCAAAACAAATAAAGTAATAAATGCATCATATGTAATCATATAAGAAATAAAGATGAAAATCAAGCTGCAAGCCGCAAAAAAAAAATGTTAAGTAATCAATTACATAGTGCTAACTACGAGCAAGCAATTGATAAATGAGAAAAGATGCCAAAAGCAAGAAACTTAAAATAATACCAGACGTTTCGACACAACATTTCATGGATCTTTTTCAGTGGTTTGGGTAGAATAAAAACAAACAGATCAATTAAACAGGTGAAAGGCAAACCATTTTTTTTTGTGAACTTTTGTTTTTCCTTTCACCTGTTTAATAGATACGTTTGTTTTCATAGTCCCTACCCAAACCACTGAAGGAGGCTCATTAAATGGACATATTTCTATCAAACGGGACTATATGCATTATGACGTGAGCCCTGTTATGCACTTATTCTTATGGGTCTCAGGGCTCATGCCTGAATGCACATAGTTCCGTTTGATAGAAATACATCCAAATGATGGGTCGCGACGTCCAGCGTTACTGTAAGTTTCTTTCTTTTGTCATCTTTTCTTATTTATCAATTGCTTGCTGTTACTCTTGTAGCCCTCGAAGGACCACTACAAAGAAGACAAACGAAAACAACACAAATGGGAATAGAGCGAGGGATGCACAACAAAAGTTGCGCAATGCTCTAGATAATTTTGCTCCTATACCTTATGTCCCCTAAAATTGCGTATTCCCCCTGAGTGTGCCTCCAAGTCATGATCATGAGGACTTAGATATCTCATCGGATGAAGGTGAATGAAGCATTATATCTGAAGAATCACCCAAAAAATGTCCTATATTTGTAAATATACAGCTTGGAAAAATAATCCTTTAAATCAGGTCATTTTCCGAAAAATAAGGGGGGGGGGCTGGGATCCACGTAGGAATATGCGAGACCAAAAGTTGGCCCATATTCATTAGACCCTGGTCCATTAGCGTCAGGAATTTTGAGCTGAGCAAAGGTTTTTTCAAATAAGAGTTTTTTAAATCACCCTAATTAATAAAACATGTAAAGCAACATTTAGGATTCCCCGACCTCCCCCCCCCTCCCTTCGAAACGCATTTGTGATAGAACTTAGTGTCTTTTAACCCGTAAAAACAAAATTGCGTGACACTCGCCTCAAACTCCCGTCTCCATAGAGCGTTACATATTTTATGGATGGCACACCTTATGATCTAATAATGTGACAGCTAGGGAACAATTTTTCTTAACTCTTAAACGCCCAAGCCGGGTCAAATTAACCCTGGTCTCGCTAAAAGCACGTACCTTGCTGGCTGTAACGGGCCGGTTGCATACGAGTTTTAGACAAAGGTTTAAATATATCTTATAAAAGAATCATGTATTAAATTGAAAAAAAAAGAAAAAATTGAGCACCAACACAGTCGAGAATAGGAGAGACGTAATCTAGCCTACTGTTTAAACTTTTCTCCCAAATCCGAGCGACACCTCATTGACAGCATTGGAGCATTGAGACTTCGCGCCTCGCGCTGTCGCGCCTTCAATGTTCCAAATGCAACACGGACATCCATCGAGTACGAATAGTTGTATCTCTGCGCGGTCATCACCGCTCATCCTTTTCCTCGCTCCATTTCCGAAAGCCTCACACTATCAAAACTAGCCATCAAATATCAAGGTCAGGTATTGTGATTGGCTTATTCGATGACTCGGACCAATCACAGCACTTGACATTGAAATTTTGATGGACTATTTTGATAGTGTGACACAAGCAATATGTGTTGTTTCCGTTTGTCTTATTCGTCTTATCGTTTGTCTTATTCCAAATCCGATCCGACTAGGAGACTGCATTGAATATGCAAAAGGAAATTTAGACGAAATTCAGTCCGAATTCCGAAGGTTATTCCGAACCTAACCTTTAGTAGTGACGCGAAAAACGCCTGCAAATCGAAATTACTTCATCCATAGGGTAACTTTGTGCAATGGGGTACAACTTTGTGCAATAGGGTACATCTTTGCGCAAACAGTAATTTAATTTTATTGAGCAAGTGCAACTTTTTCTTGCTTAAGCAACAGTGCTTTACATCACAGTGTTTCCCTCGTTCAAGTTTTTGATTAAAGGAATGCGAGATTGAATGTCATGGTAAGGTGAATATTTTAATCTCCTGCTGTCCAGTGTCCAAAAACCTCTGAAGATACATACAGGGCGGATTAAGGGGGTGGCCACATGGACCGCGGCCCATGGCGGCAAGTTTAGGGGGTAGCAAATTTTGCAATTGTTTTAAATGCGGTAAGTATGAAAAAAAAGTGAAGAGTATCATAACTTACGGCAGTGAGGTCTGGCAACTCAAGAAAAGAACTGAAGACATGCTTAGAGCAACTGAGATGGACTTTTGGCGAAGGTCTCCCGCCCAACACGAAATATTGTAGCAATATTGTCAATGTTGAAACAATATTGTCATGTAAATATTTCCTTAAATACACTGCAGAAATATGTTGACAATATTGCTAAAATATTTCATGACAATATTGTAACAATATATTTATAAAAATGTTTTAAATATATTTTGTAAATATATGTATGTAATTAC